GAAGCAAGAATAATTTTATACACTTGCAATCTAACAACTGAGTACACTTGAAAGGGTGAACTTCCTTCTTTAACGGAGGGTTATTCAACAATGATAACATCAACACCATTATGTGAGATAGATTGTAAGGGAATAAAAAATATTTTGTTCAAAATAGACAAACAATTCAGATTTTTTCTATCTTGCAGTCCATCCCAAAGAATGATACCTGGAATTTGGGGTGGCTTCATATTAGTAAGGATTATGGTAAAATCTATTTAACGAGTGCTTTTATAGTAAAATCTTATTATTTTATGCCTCAGTTAAATAGAAAACCAAAGGGTTAGAACATTTTGTTTACACTTATAAACAAATAAAATCATAAACTATGATAGCTGGGAATCGAAGCTTGTACTGAGTTGTTTTTTCACCTCCATGTTATGAACAACAAAGGGAATGTATGTTTTTTTTTTGTTTTTTTAAATAATAAATAGCGTGCCTTGGCTTTATACCTTGGCTTTATATTTGTTTTACCATTTGTTTCTTTTATTTCTTCTTCTTTTTATTTGTTTTTTTAAATATTTTCTTTAAATACTTTTCTATTTCCTTTTTATTTCAATTTAAATTTTTTTAATACCCAAAAATACGTAATTTCAATGAGAATTTTTATTTTATGTACTTGTAATCCATCCCAGAGATCTGTAGTAGCAACTCATGATCAAATAGACGATGGTGAATATTTTCTCTCTTTGTGGCGACTACATATAAGTTAGTCTTAGAGTAAAACATGTTTAACGAGTGTTTTTATAGTAAAATATGATTATTAAACATCTCAGTTTTATTATAAAGGCGAGTTTTTTTTTTTTTATTTTCTCCTTTTAACTATCACCTTAGTGAATTTTTTTTTAAATTACATTGTTTAAAAAAAAATATTAAAATAAATTGTTTACAACAAATATTTGCTCTTATTACTGAATATCTTTGCTGATATCCAGATTTAGTTGCATTCCCTTCTTTTTTCAAAGGTTAAGCTCTTTTCCTTGTTGGTTAATCTCCATTCTTTGTGTAACTTGAAGCAAGAATAATTTTCTACGCATTTAATAACTGAGTACACTTGAAAGGTTGAACTTCCTTCTTTAACTGAGGGTTATTCAACGATGATAATAACATCAACACCATTATGTGAGATAGATTGCAAGGGCATAAAAAATATTTTGTTCAAGATAGACAAACAATTCAGATTTTTTCTATCTTACAGTCCATCCCAAAGAATGATACTTGGAATTTGGGGTGACTTCATATTAGTAAGGATTAGGGTAAAATCTATTTAACGAGTGCTTTTATAGTAAAATCTTATTATTTTATGTCTCAGTTAAATAGAAAACCAAAGGGTTATAACATTTTGTTTACACTTATAAACAAATAAAATCATAAACTATGATAGCTGGGAATCGAAGCTTGTACTAAGTTGTTTTTTCACCTCAATGTTATGAATAACAAAGAGAATGTATGTTTTTTTTTTGTTTTTTTAAATAATAATTAGCGTGCCTTGGCTTTATACCTTGGCTTTATATTTGTTTTACCATTTGTTTCTTTTATTTCTTCTTCTTTTTATTTGTTTTTTAAAATATTTTCTTTAAATACTTTTCTATTTCCTTTTTATTTAAATTTAAATTTTTTTAATACCCAAAAATACGTAATTTCAATGAGAATTTTTATTTTATGTACTTGTAATCCATCCCAGAGATCTGTAGTAGCAACTCATGATCAAATAGACGATGGTGAATATTTTCTCTCTTTGTGACGACTACATATAAGTTAGTCTTAGAGTAAAACATGTTTAACGAGTGTTTTTATAGTAAAATATAATTATTAAACATCTCAGTTTTATTATAAAGGCGAGTTTTTTTTTTTATTTTCTCCTTTTAACTATCACCTTAGTGAATATTTTTTTTAAATTACATTGTTTACAAAAAATATTAAAATAAATTATTTACAACAAATATTTGCTCTTATTACTGAATATCTTCGCTGATATCCAGATTTAGTTGCATTCCCTTCTTTGTTCAAAGGTTAAGCTCTTTTCCTTGTTGGTTAATCTCCATTCTTTGTGTAACTTGAAGCAAGAATAATTTTCCACGCTTGCAATCTAATAACTACACTTGAAAGGTTGAACTTTCTTCTTTAACTAAGGGTTATTCAACAATGATAATAACATCAACACCATTATGTGAGATAGATTGCAAGGGCATAAAAAATATTTTGTTCAAGATAGACAAACAATTCGGATTTTTTCTAGCCTTCCATACAAATGGGTCCCTCCATATTGACTGGGCCCTTCCATGTGAATTTGTGACCAATAATGTCCATCTCGAGGAGATTGCACGAATTGATATGACCCTTGAATAAGGAGAAACTTCTGACGGAAGTAGGAAGACCACCCATCTTCTCAATAGGAAGAAGAATGTCATTAAAATCTCCTTTGAGAAGCCACCCACTCGGTAAATTATGGAAATTTTTTAAAAGGTTGTCCCAAAGATCATGTCTGCCATATATTCCTAAGGCTGACTTAGATCGGAGTGAAGTACTGGCTGTTACTATTATGGAGTTTGGCTTTCATGTGTAAGAATTGGAAGTGCTTGACCTCGATGTCAATATTAATTATATATGGATTCCATGCCACAACAATTCCTCAAGAGTAACCTCTATTTCCAGCGTAATCGAAATTGTCAAACCCCAACTTATGCATCTTATTTCACATTTTTTATAGATCAAATATAGTTTCAAGGATAACAAATATGTCGGTTTGTACATACATATGTAGTTCTGGCTCACCCTAAGAAAATATTTACTCGTTGCCCCTCTATAATTTCATATAAAAATATTGCATTGGCCACTGATCATGGCCATATGTAGATATTGTCTTTAGTTGTTTCATCTTGACTTCCAACATGTAGATATTGTTTACTTTCAACATAAAGAACTACTTCATTAGGGTCTTCAGGTTGAGGTTGACAAACAAGATCGATAGTGTTGATTGTCGCCTCTTCCTGTGTGTTCTTGTGTTTCCCTGCTTGAGCTATGAGTGTTTTAGGTCCCATTTTCTCAAGGTTGTGGTTCTGATAAGTAGTAATTTCAAGGATGTATTCTTCTCTGTTGGTCCTAGTCTCTAAACACAATCCCTTAATGAAAGTTGCCACTTGAATGTCTTCCACGAGCTTCTCAATATTGTGATTGGCTCCCCGATACGTGCTTTGTTTGCCATTGTCCTTTGCTATTCCACAAGATGATATTTCCAATCTCTATTGAGTTGTCACTTTCTTGCCTTTCAATTTATTATTTTTCTCTAAGATTTCCCCATGTTCCTCAGTTGCAGGTGTCATTAGTTCCCTCATTAGGCTAGATTGAATACAATCAATGTCTGGATTATTCTTGAAATCAGTCTTCTTGTCTCGTTGTTTTCCTTTGAGGGTTATCATCTATGATATCATTTAGGGCTTCAAATCTCGATCCTCTTTTATTCTTTAGGATGTTTTCCTCATCGTTGAGACCTAATTAACTGCTTGCATTCCCCATATTGATACCACTTTGGATTCCCTTGAACTAATTCATGCAAGTTCTTTTTGGTTTGTGGACTATTTTCCAAGGACCTGTCGCTTGTTCATTTGGTTCATTATTCTCCATTCCTTTTCTCTTATCGGCCCTTGGTTCAAAGATTTTAGTTTCCCTAGTCCTACAAGTTTTAGCATAGGGCCATATCTACCGTAAGCGAGACAGAGTAAATGCAAACCTTCATACTCCACTTTATAATGTTCCCCCTTGATAGAGAATATGGCTAGCAACATGTTGGATAAGCTAATCTGAATGCTAACCTGGCATACTTTCCACGTTCTCTGGTGAGGGTGGTCTTACCAACCTTTACTGTTTTTCCAATTCTGTTTCCTATGTAGGTTAACACTCGAGCATCATAGTACTCTATAGGGAGACCATAAATTTCACCAAACTATCAGTTGCTCGATGGTATTACTGCTTGGGCATAAATTTCTACTTAATTCTCTGACAGTGAGATAATGGTCGCAGATCATCCACGGTCCTTCCGTAAGACCAACAACTTGATCTTCTTCACTTGAAAACATGATAAGGTAGAAATCTTGCCCTAAATTAACTATGTGAAAGATTCCGCTTCTGGCCCATAAATGGTTGAGACGATTTTCCAACACCTTAATGCCTATCTTTTTTCCAAGCATCTTGACAATCACCCCTTTACACCAAGGTTTCCCAATTCGCCTTTTATCCGCTTCTGAGAGTATGAATTTTGGGCATTCATAGCCTCTAACATTCTTTTCTTCTATTTGAATACCTTCCAGGTCGATTTTTTCTTCATCTTCTTCGTTCTTTCATTGATCCTTCTCCATGAATTCACTAGTGACCACATTCTTGTAAGATAAAATTGCGATAGGGCTTGAGGGAACACTATCCATCAATTAAGCTTCTTCTTAGCTTAACTCAACGACATCTCCACCTTTTACTTTTTTTTCGTGTTTCTTTCCATCAAGTCTTCTTCCTGGGGTTAAAGGAAGAAACTTGTCAAATCAAACCCTTGCATGGTGAAATCCATCGGAAAATTCTTTTCTAAATAAACAAATAAAGAGTTAAGGATTGATACAGTGAGCTATTAGATTTTCACCTGACTGATCTTTAATATAAAGATTAAGAATTAAAACTATCCTAATATAACTCCAATCCGACCGAAGCTTCATTATAACTTTTATGCTTTATTGAATTGAAAATAAATCTCTTAATTTTCAAAAATATCAACGCCAATTAAACTAAATTTACTAATTTCTTTTTATCAATTTGGCTTAATTCATATTTCCTCATATAGAAGAGTATCTATACAAAAAAATACGGCTATTTTCAATTCTTTTTCTTCTCTCTAAAAAAAATTGAACCTACGTAACAATCAGAGGAAAACCCTTTCTCTCTCACACACAAACACTCTGCGAAATCAAGTAGTAACAATGGGAGATCGAAGCAACGGTGATGTTCTCATGCTGGAGGCTCCACCATCTTACGGTAGTAGGTCAACCAATTCCGACGCCGAAATCATCGACGCATTGCCTTACATCGACGACGACTACAGTGACCCTAGGGTCAAAATCGAAGTCGACCGTCTCGTCGAAGAAGAGATGCGCCGCAGCTCCAAGAAACCCGCTGATTTCCTCAAAGATTTTCCACCTCTCCCCACTTTCAATTTTCAGGTAAACCAATCACATTCTTTCTCTCTTATCGTTAGGGTTTTGTGTTTTTTCTTTTGATTTCTGAAGTTGTTACAGGAGCATCCAATTGTTAGGGTTTAGTGTTTTTTCTTTTGATTTCTGATGAAATTGTTACAGGAGTATCCAATGATTGGTAGAGAGTATGAGCGCGTGAGAGCTGGCAGGCCTCCTATTTCACTTGACAGGTCGAGATATGAATTAGAACTACCACCAATCAATAAAAGGAACGATGAAACCGCTTGGAAACTAGCTCTTCAAAGAGCTCAGCGACTACTTCAATATCAGACAATGAGGTGTTCTTCCTGTGCTATGCTATCTTACACTATTAAATTTTCCATGTGCTTTGTTATTTCTATTAAGCTTCACATCTTATCAAATTAGTTTCTAACATACTCAACTTCTCAATTGAAAGAAAAAGAAGTTCATAGTTGTTATTCTTGTAAAGTCTTAATTGTTTTTATAATAAATAAATTTAGATTAGGAGTGGAACACCCCATGCATAGTTAGGGATAACCAATGCTGTTAAACAGCTGCTATATGTAGAGGAATTTAGACAAACCACCTTTGTTCCATGATACACTATTTAGTAGAAAATATTGTAAATAGCCGCTATAGCAATGATATAACACTATTGCATAGTGGAATTTTAACAAACCACTATTTTCTGCTATCTACAATTGACAATATTGGGGAGGACCACCAACCTTATCACAGATAAATGATTTAGAATGGAAGTTAGGTATAACCTACCAATTGCAGAACTCTAGACTAGAATCCAGGTCTCTAGACTAGAACCCAAGTCAGAGCGGGTAGAGTGGAATGTCTAACCATATGTGTCAACCAAAATTGGTTATAAAGTCTTTGTTATAAGCTTATTGAATAAGAGAAGGATATTATACTGGACGGAAGCTATTCTTTAAAATCATGCTTATTTTGAGATTATTTTGAAGTTTCTATTCTGATCACCGTATGTGGAGAAATTAATCCAAACTGATTCATTCATCGTCAAACTAGGGAATGATATTTTATGTTGTGGCCAAAGTTGATTGTGGAGTTAATGAAACACCATAAACATGTTAACATATTGATAATTTAAGCCACTGGCTTATAAAAAGTGGCGTTGTTCATGCTATATTCATTCTATTTTCTAGTTTTGTTTTGTTTGTGCTTGACATGTTTGAGTGGGTGTATTATGTTATCTCAAAGTTTAGTCTATCTCTATCATGTTGCACAAAATGTTTTGAATGTTTTAAGGTTCAGATTGTCAGCACGTTGTTTACAGTTGTTTAACTTGTTCATAATAATCTGCAGGATGGAAAATTTGGATTTGTTGTTGAAATATGGTCCTGATGCCTGGAAACAGCACAACCTGCGATTGGAAGTATACTTGTCAAGGTTTGTAGATTCAATTATTGTGCGTCAAGTTTAGATGTTAGTTTGAATATATGCCTGTGCATTATTTGCTCTCTTCATACTTTAGCAAATGAAGATTCTGACAGACTTGTCTTTGTTCTGTATGACTGACTTTTATGTTGAATACTTTTTTTCCCTTTCTGGTTTAAATCTTCCCTAGAGAAAACAGCTTAAGGTTTTGCATTGAAATGGTTCCTGAGACTGATTTATGTTATGTATGATACATGAGATCGACAGCCTAAGATGTGCTTAAGGAGTTTTTCTAAAGTTCCTAATTAACAAGTATTCAGCTCTGACTTGTTTTTCCCATCGGGGTTTAGAGAGCTTCACTAAAGAAACTGTTAACAGATTCTGTAAATCTCTTGTTTAGAGTATTTCTTGGTTCAGTTCTTCACAGAACCCGTTACATTGTGTACATATAATAGACATGGCATGTTTATTCTCTGATACTAGTTAATAATTGTGTTAATAATTACTCTAAGAGGGTAGTTTGTTTAATGAATTACTGAATATTGTTTGACTGTAAATAGGCCAGTATCAGGAAAAGCTAGTTTAAAATGAACCTATTATATGTATCCCCTCGTTTTTTTTTCCAAAGTATATTTGATATAATCCCAATGCAATAAATAAAGAATTCCAAAAAGTAACGTTGATCCTTAGCAACGAGTTATCAACTCTAGAACATTATCCCATATCATTTTAAGAACAGAGACTGCAGCAGTTAACCAATATCTAGGGGAAAAACATTGCAGTCTAAGCTACTCCTTTTTCTTCACAAAAAGGTGACTCCTTTGCATCATTAAGCATAGCCCAAAGCTCTAAAAACTTTCTAGTTTTAAGGATGGTATCTTATAGCATTATATCATTTTTGTTTATATAGCATTATGTCATAATATAGGTGGGTCCAAGAGAGTTCGTAAGGGGCTAATTTTGATTTAGCATGCTGTTATTTGGGCTTTTTGGAAGACTAGAAATGAGCGGCCTTTTAATAGTTTGATCCATCCCTTTTGGTGCGACACTGAACCACATAAAGACTATTTTGTGGCACTGGTATATTGCTAACTTTGCACTAAATCCTTTACCTATTCATGAATGGAAATGAGACTTGGTAGCTTCTATGGCTTCATAATGCTTCGTTGGTGTCCATTGCTGGCGTGGGTCTGTGATCGGTTCTGTTTTCGAATGTCCTGGTTTGCATCTTGTTGTTGGTTAGAGTTTCAGTGGGCTCAGCTAAGAAGTTTTTTTTTGGAGGTTACTGGTTCAAGTTTGCTTCTGCTATATAGGCTTTCTATGCAAGCTGCAGGGGCACTTGTTTTCATGTTCCTTTTAGTATTTCGGTTGGTTAATTCAGGCGGGGTGGGCTTTTGCTGCGTGGTTTAATTCTTTTGGTCTAAGGGTGCCATTTGCTTTTTCTGTTTTGTTGTTTTCGATGGTGTTTTGTTTTTGTCTCTCATTGCCTGTTTGCTTTTGCTGTTTTGTTGTTTTCGACGGTGTTTTGCTTTTGTCTCTCTCATTGCCTGTTTGCTTTTGCTGTTTTGTTGTTTTCGACGGTGTTTTGCTTTTGTCTCTCTCATTGCCTGTTTGCTTTTGCTGTTTTGTTGTTTTCGACGGTGTTTTGTTTGTCTCTTTCATTGCCTGTTTGCTTATAGGAGTAGGTGGTTTTTGGGGGATGTCCAATTAACATCTTCTACAGCTACTTCCTATCTCAGTTTCTACTTGTACCTTGCCTCTTATCCTAATACATCTCGTGTTATTCAGGGCCATTTTAATTAATTTGATATTAAAAAATAAAGTAATATTTCTTTCATCTATTTTAAATTTTAGGAACTGATTCTGTTTTGTCATCTACACATCACTTTTTGTTTAGTATTGTTATAGTTTGTTTATGTGTTTTCAGAATGCAGAAATTAGCTCAGGAACAAAATGAAAAGATTGAAAAAGTCAACCGTGAAAGGAAATACCATCAGGTGAATATGAATTTCCTGTCTACCCTTGTCACTGTTATTTGTTAAAATCCTTGTGAAGTTTACTTAAATTTGCATTTTTTATGACTATTGTCAGCAAAATACTGCATATGAGCTTAATGCTCTGTCCATCCAATGGAATGAGCTCTGTCTGAAAAATATAAACATTAGAGCTGCGTGCGCTTCAGCTGAAACTCACCTTAATGACCTGAGAAGAGAAGCAGCAGAAAGGTGACTTGGCAGTTGGCTATGTAAAATTTGTTTTTCTTGGCTAATTTCATATAGTTTTGGTTTTTAATGAGTTTTTCTTCTTTCTTCTTTTTCAGAGGCTGGAACTTGGATGCTGTCACTGAAAACGGGCAATATGCCAATTCGGCATCATGAGATTTGTATCTAGTTTTGATTTGTTTTTCCAACTTTAATTGCTATTATACCTATTAATTAATATTTAGTTTATTATATCATGAAATTATTACCCATTTGCATACCGAAAAATATAAAGATGTCAAATTATTATTAGATGAAACAGGTTGAAGGAAAAGCATCATTCGGCTATTTTGGTTAATTGAATAACATAGGCAGGGGCTGTTGGAGGATTTATTGTTAGGAGGAGGGATGGTTAGAAAATACTTTTTGAGAGTATCTCCAATTCATGTTGTTTAGTGCAAATGTAGAGTTATTAGTTATGTAGCATTGTAGCAGAAAAAATGTGTTTTATCTTTAAAAAATAATAGAATTTTGATAATTAGGGAGGTCAAATATAAAATGATAGGGTTAGATATAGGTTGTTTATTGAAATTTTCCTTGGAGTAAAATATAATTGATTTTTGCGTCAAAAAGCATATATTAAATGAAAGCCTATACTTTTATATTCTCAAGACTGTTCTTGATTGGAAATTGGTCCAAACTTTCGTTCAAAAATTTTAGTAGGTTAAATGAAATTTTTGCTAGACTAAAATTTTCAATGGTGTATTCTAAATTTTCGATATGGTTTAATAAATTTTGGAAATTTAAAATTTACCAGTTGATATAGAAAATTTTAACCTAAATGAAATTTTTGGTATTGAAAATTTTAACCTAAATGAAATTTTTGGTATTGAAAATTTTAACCTAAATGAAATTTTTGGTAGTATTATTTGTTTGATTTTTTGGATGTTCATGATTTTGTCGACGGTCTTTGTTGACTGTGATTGCATCAACATTTTTGTGTGGTTTAGAATAAATGTAAAGTTGTATAAATAGGGGGTTACATGTTGTTTGATAAAAATATCTTTAAAATGTCTCTTTTTCAATTTTTATTAAGACAAAAGTGTACTTCAATGGAGCTTCACCTTCTGTAGAGTTCTGACTTTTAGATGACACCATATCTCTTGTTGGCTTAATGTCTAAATTAAATAAATTGTTGCTTGATGCCGAAAATAAAAAGGTGAGAAAGATCGAGTTTCACAGAAATTAGATTTATATTGACGGGAGGGTGAAATACAATTTTATTTAGTTGAAGATCGAGGAAGATGTGAAGAATATGTGGAGATCATTTCTTCGTAGGATAACAAAGGGGTCGATCGCGTTAGATGCAAAGATTTTAAGATCTGTTAACGACATAATAAAGATGCTGAAACGTCCAAAATCATCGGGTAGTGTTTAGGTTTTTCTTATTTATTAATCATCGGGTAGTGTTTAGGTTTTTCTTAAGTTATGTTTAAGTTATGTGATCCATTGTCAAATGTCAGTTAATGTTGATGTTGCATCAATGGAAGATATAAAATATTAGCAAATATGTTAGAATAATATACAAATGATACAAATAATACATAATAAATGAAATCCATGATATACAAAAGATGTCTAAATAGGTCCTTACAGGCTACATGTGTAGCCCGAGATCATCCAATATAAACTTCGTTATTTGGATTTACCAAACCCATGAGGTTATCCATAATAACTGCAATCATCTGGAGACGCTGTTGGTCATCGACATTAGCTGGAGAAGGCAACAACGACACATCATCAACATGTACCTCAACATCAGAAGGCCCGACATCAGGTGTCGGTGGGGTGATGCGAGAGTGTGAGGTAACACTCTAAGTAACCATTCTCACAATGCGATAGGTGTTGAACAGTAACTGATCGATCTCTAATGGCACGACCAGAGCTTATAAAGTTACTCTAAAACCCTCAATCAATACCTGCAGATTGTATATTTGGAACTGGTCATGGGATACTCTAAACATAACCATACTGTTGCAGACACCTCTCAGGCAAGTGTCTAACAACTATGGTCTCCCACCGCATATAAGTTGAGTATAATGACGACTTCTCGAACTTACAGTGGACTCTATGACCAGTGTATGGTGCTCAGATGATATCATCTACAGTCAACGCGTCGAGTCTCCTCTTGTACTCAACAACACCGTCGAGATGTGCCTGCCTGACCTTCCATCTCTTCGCCCGTGGGGACCCCACTGAAAAATGTTGCACCCTCCTGTCACAGATGATGGTGAAATGCTCGTATATCCAACACTAATATCAAAACACATACATAACAAATAATAAATAAGAAATGCTATTTGTAACAATTGAATGAGAAATCAACAACAAATAATAATTTCAAATATACCTGTAACATACTCAAATAGCCAGCAAGTTGTTTGGTCTCAAATATCGTCGCCACTCCAAGTGTTGTATACAGAAGAATCAATGCAACACACCCCTAAGCCCAATTGGTATCTCGAGGCTACTGAAGAGGCACACGTACCAGACGTCGATATAAACACCAGAATTGTCCACAAAGATAGTACATGCTACTAGATGTAGCATGTACACCCTAGCGATAACCTTATAACTCTGAGCAGTTACAAGCTGGTCATATGTCTTCCGAAGCCAAGATATATGAAGGTGTGCGCCCCTATTAACGCCAAAATCCTCCTGCTTAACCGCCTCAAAAACTCCCAAATCTCGTGTAGTAGTCTGACATGAAAAGGACATGCTAAGAACGGGAGCCGTCCAAAATCTATCGTCGATGGAGAGATGGAACAATAAGGAGACATCATCCAGAGTGATAGTCATCTTCCCAAACGAAAGATGAAATGAAGATGTCTCCTTGTGCCACCTCTCAACAAACACACTAAGTAGTGGAGCATTGAGCATGGTGACAGAGCAGTGGACAAAATGAAGCAGCTCGAACTACCATAGAATCCGATTGACCTGCTCAGACATAATCTTCAGAAAGTCTTTCACTTTCGACCCGTACGATGTCACCTTCAATGTGGGACGCTCTTGTGATAAACAAATAAAAAAAAATTAGCAGTTAACTTTCATGGCACAATAATAAGCAAATTAAAGTTAAACATAAAAGACATATATACATATCTCTCCATAGTCATAACGCCACATGGTCAACATATTCAGTAAGCACTGACCAATCAATGGATCCTCTAGAGAATCCTCCATCGGTGTGCACAGAGGGCTCAGTCGAAGGAGTTGTAACCTCCGTGTCAGTAGTAACAGATGAGACCGAACCACCAATAATAACATCTGACGGGACCACCAGAGTAACCTCCTCCAAACTAACCTCCTCAACCACCAGACCTGCAACCTCTTCAACCATCGGATCAACAACATCAACTTTTGGCACCAGCTCATCTCTACGTTGCTCTACTGATCGTACTAGTCGACATCAAGTTGCTCTACTTCCGGTGTGAACGGGTTAGGGACACTCGTCCAGCCCGTATCTAAGAAGACTCAGCCTCAGCACCCCTTAAAGCTCTAGTCTGGTCTCCTGCTCGATCAACATCTCTCTCTGCAATAGTGTCGTCTCTGCCTTTGTATTTCACTACAAAAGAAGAAAAAATAAAAAAAATATTAGCAACTACCGAAAATTTCAGAATTTCCGATAAAAAAACAAAGTTTTCGTACATATTGAAAATTATAAAAATTCTGATATACAATCCCATGGAATATACCGAAAATTTCAAAATTTCTAATACAAAACCAGATTTTTATAACTAGTAGAAATTCTAAAATTTTCGATATATTCAATGGGATTTTATACCGGAATTTTTAAAAAATTTCCAGTAAACATTTTTAATATAAACATCGGAAATTTTAAAATTTCCGATAAAAAATACCAGAAATTTTTAAAATTTTTGGTATAAATACTCGCTGTTTTTGAAATTTCTGATATTCAACTCTAAATTTTCGGTATCGGCCCAAAAGTTTTAAATTTTTGCTTATTCACCGTAAATTTCAAAAAAATTTAGAATGATTTTGTAAGAATAGTATCGTCTTTTCATACGTGATGGAGTGTCAGATTTAAATGGAGATGTGTCAAATTAAATGGTTCCGACTTGAGTGAACTTCTTTTCCTACAAATTTTTATGGAAGAATTTAAAAAATATATTTATGAAAGATTTTGTAGAGTTTAAATAATTTTTTTGAAATTATTTTTACATTGTTATAATACTATAAAAACAAAAAATATATTAATCATAAATATGTGTTTAACACTATTAGTCATAAGTATTCTATTGTAATATTTTATTATTTTTTTGGTTTGGAATCACCCTTCTATATCAACATCATCTTTTAATCTAAATAAACAGTATATCCATATCATGTTTTTGTAATTTCATAATTTTGTAATTTCTTGGGTACAATGTTTTTTATTCATCATCTTGATCCTTACTTTGCATAATTTTGAGTACAATGTTTTTTTTGTAATTTGTCGCAAAGTGGTGGCACATTGTCTCGCACTAATAATTGGATATTCATCTTATTAATTGAAGACAATTTATACTTGGCGTAACAAGTTGAGTTATGCATCAACACACAAAACCTCTATGAATTTGTTGTTTGTCCATGAATCCCAATAATTCTCCTTCAGCATCATTCCTTAATATTGGTGCTTCCTTCCAAGTGACCAATGATGTTATTAATCCATAACATGTCACTTATTTTGAAGGTTATGGTCAGATCTACGTATTAAATGGTCGATGGATTAACATTAACTTTTTGGGTTCTAATTCATTTTCCTCTCTAACACATCCACACATACCTTTAGTTCTTCATAATCTACTTCATGTGAAACTTTTATTGTCTTACCACACTTTTCCAACTAAATTACCAAACTATCACCTTTTCTACAATACTTACCGAATTATATCTTTTTAAATATTTTTTTATATAAAGCAACCACCCATTACTTTGGAGGTTGTTTTGAAAAAAATTACTAGAGCCACCAAGTGGTTTGGCGGCAGAGTTGAAAAGTCTAGAAGGCGCGTCCAATTTATTGGAGAATCCTTTAAATTGTATTTTTTAAGGCATAATTAGTCCCTAAATTTTTAAGTTAATTTTAAGTTTTGTTTTAGTTTCTTAATAAAAAAAAA